AAAGTACAGGTGAACCTAAAATATGGTTGTGCTTATTAACTCACTGAGGAAAGGCTATAGACTCTCAAGAGCATATTGAGGAGAACTCTGGGGAAGCAGCCCTAATTGGTCAGCAGTGAGCAGAGGAAAGGGAGTGTTCAAAGGAGTCTGCAAGTGATTTCTATAATAATAGAAACGAGAAAAGAATGATGTTGTAGAAGCCTCAGGAAAGAGTTTAGAGAAAGTAAAAATATTGTTAAATTCCACAGAGAAGTAACATAGAGACCATTTATCTAGATGATAATATATAGGAAAGTGCCTGGCACTTAACAGATGCTCAAATACATATTCTTTCCGTGTCATGTGTGTGACATGCCTCTCTCCCCTCCCAGACTGAGTGAGCCTTGAGACTAGGGCCATATGTTTGGTCTCTTTGTTTATTTTGGTTTCTTTGCTTGTTTATTTATTTTTATTGAGATGTAATTGACATATAACAATATATTAGTTTCAGGTGTACAACATAATAATTCAATATTTGTATATATTGAGAAATGGTCAACACAAATCTAGTTAACACCCAGCACCACATGGCTATCATTTTTTTTCTTGTGATGAGAACTTTTAAGACCTACTCTCTTAGCAACTTTCAAATATACAGTACAGTATTGTTAACTACAGTCACCATGCTGTACATTACCACCCCATGACTCATTTATTGTATAACTGGAAATTTGTACCTTTTGAACACCTTCACCATTTTGCCCAAATCCTACCCCTTGCCTCTGGCAACCACTAATCTGTTCTCTATATCAGTGAGTTCATTTTTGTTTGTTTTGCTGTTTGTTTTTAGATTCTGTATGTAAGTGAGATCATACAATATTTGTCTTTCTCTCTCTGACTTATTTCACTTAGCATAATGTCCTTGAAGTCCATCCACATTGTTGCAAATGGCAAGATTTCCTTCATTTTTTATGTCTGAACAATATTTCATTGTGTATATGAATACCACACTTTCTTTATTCATTCATCCATCCGTAGATACATATGTTGATTCTATGTCTTAGCTATTGTAAATAATACTGCAGTGAACATGGGAGTGCATCTGTTTTTTTGAGTTAGTGTTTTCCTTTCCTATGGATAAATACCCAGAAGTGGAATTGCAGGATTATACAATAGTTTTATTTTTAATTTTTTGAAGAAACTTCATACTGGCTGCACCAATTTACATTCCCACCAACAGTGAATGAAAGTGCCCTTTTCTCCACATCCTTGCCAACACTTGTCATTTCTTGTCTTTTTGATGATAGCCATTACAACAGGTGTGAGGTGATAACTCATGGTGGTTTTGATTTACATTTACCTGATCATTAGTGATGTTTAGCACGTTTCATTGTACCTGTTGGCCATCTGTATATGTTCTTTGGAAATATGTCTATTCAGATCCTCTGCCCATTTATTAATTGGATAGTCATTTTATTGAGTTAAATTAGTTCTTTTTGTATTTTGATATTAACCCTTTATTAGATATACAATTTGCAAATATTTTCTTCCATTCAGTAGGATGTCTCTTCATTTTGTTGTAGGTTTGTTTTGTTTTGTTTTTTTGCAGAAGCTTTTTAGTTTGATATAGTCCACCTGTTTATTTTTACTTTTGTTGTCTTTGCTTTTGGTGTCAAGTCCAAAAAATTATCACAAAGACTGATGTCAAGGAGCTTAACATCTATGCTTTCTTCTAGGAGTTTTATGGTTTCAGGTCTCACTTTTAAGCCTTTAATCCATTTGGAGTTAATTTTTGTGTATAGTATAACAACGGTCAAGTTTTATTCTTTTGCATGTGACTGTCCAGTTTTCTCAGCACCATTTATTGAAGAGAATGTACTTTTCCCCATTATATTCTTGGCTCCTTTGTCATAAATTAATTGACCATATATGCATGGGTTTATTTCTGGCTTCTCTATTCTATTCCATTGATCTATGTGTCTGCTTTTATGCCAATATCATCCTCTTTTGACTACTATGGCTTTGTATTACAGTTTGAAATCAGGAAGTGTGATGCCTCCAGCTTTATTCTTCTTTCTCAAGATTACTTTGGCTAATCAGGATCTTTTGTGATTCCATACAAATTTTAGGATTGTTTATTCTACTTCTGTGAAAAATATCATTGGAATTTTGATAGGGATTGCATTGAATATGTAGATTGCTTTTGGTAGTATGGACATTTTAACAATATTAATTCTTCCAGTCCATAAGCCATGTATATCTTTCATTTATTTGTGTCTTCTTTAATTTCTCTCATTAATATCATAGTTTTCAGTGTACAGGTCTTTCACCTCCTTGGTTAAGTTTATTCCTAGGTCTTTTTGCTGCAGTTGTATATGAGATTGTTTTCCTAATTTCTCTTTTAGATAGTTCATTATTAGTGTATAGAATGCAAAAGATTTTTGTATATTGATTTTGTATCCTACAACTATACTGAATTTGTTTATTCTAACAGCTTTTGGGTGGAGTTTCTTAGGGTTTTCTATATATAATATTATGTCATCTGTAAATATGACTGTTTTACTTCTTCCTTTCTGATTTAAAAGCCTTTTATTACCTTTTCTTGCCTTATTGCTCTGGCTAGACTTCCAATACTGTGCTGAATAAAAGTGGTGAGAGTGGGCATCCTTATCTTGTTCCTGATCTTAGAGAAAAGCTTTCAGCTTTTCACCATTAAGTATGATGTTAGCTGTGGGCATGTCATATATGTCTTTTATTATATTGAGGTGTGTTCCCTCTAACCCCATTTTGCTGAGCATTTTTATCATAAATGGTTGTTGAATTTGTCAAATGGTTTTCTGCATCTATTGAGATGACCATATGATTTTTGTCCTTCATTTTTTTTACTGTGATGTATTACACTGATTGATTTCTGCATGTTGAATCATTCTTGCACCCCAGGAATAAATCGCACTTGATCATGGTGTATGATCCTTTTAATGTATTGTTGAATTCTGTTTGCTAACATTCTATTGTGAATTTTTTGCATCTATGTTCATCAAGGATTTTGATCTGTAGTTCTCTTTTCTTGTGATATCCTTGTCTGATTTTGATATCAGGGTAATGCCGGCCTCATTAAATGAGTTTAGACATTCTCCCCTGTCTTCTCTTTTTTGAAAGAATTTGAGAAGTATTGGTATTAATTCTTCTTTAAATGTTTGGTAGAATTCACCAGTGAAGCTCTCTGATTCTGGACTTTTCATTGTTGGGAAGTTTTTGATTACTAGTAATCAGTCCATTCAGATTTTCTATTTCTTTGTCTTGGTAAATCATATGTTTCTAGGAATTTATCCATTTCTTTTAGGTTGTCCAGTTTGTTTTGTATATTTGTTTATAGTAGTCTCTTATGATCCTTTGTATTTTGTGGTATTAATTACAATGTGTCTGTTTCATTTCTGATTTTCTTTGAGTATTCTCTCTTTTTTTGTTGGTGAGTCTAAAGGTTTGTCAATTTTGTTTATCTTTTCAAAAAACCAGTTCTTAATTTCTTTGATCTTTTCTATTGTCTTTTTAGTCTGTCTCATTTATTTCCACTCTGATGTTTGTTATTACCTTCCTTCTACTAACTTTAGGCTTCATTTGTTCTTTTTTTTTCTATTTCTTTTAGGTGTAAAGTTAGGTAGTTTATTTGAGATTATATTTCTTAATGTAGACATGTATTGCTACGAACTCTCACAGAACTACTTCTTAGAACTATCTTTGCTTTGTTGTATTTGTTTGTTGTCGTTGTATCTGTTGTATTTTTGTTATGTTGTACTTCCATTTTTATTTATCGCAAAGCAGTTTTTAAATTTCTTCTTTGACCCATTGGTTGGTCAGTAGCATATAGTTTAATCTACACATAGATGTGAATTTCCCAGTTTTCTTCTTGTAATTAATTTCTAGTTTCATACAGTTGTGGTTGGAAAAGATGCATGGTATGATTTCAGTTTTCTAGATCTCATTGAATTGTTTTGTGACTTAACACATGATCTATCCTGGAGAATGTTCCATGTACATTTGAGAAAAATGTGTATTCTGTTGCTATTGGGTGGAATGTTCTATATGTGTCTAAGTCCATCCTATTTAATGTGTCATTCAAGGCCAATGTTTTCTTTTTTTTTTTTTTTTGGCCATGCCATGTGACACGTGGGATCTTAGTTCCCTGACCAGGGATCAAACTCACTCCCCCCACAGCGGAAGCACCAAGTATTAACCACGGGGCTGCCAGGGAAGTCCCAAGGCCAGTGTTTTCTCATTGATTTTCTGTCTGGATGATCTATTCATTGGTGAAAGTGGGATATTAAAGTCTCCTACTGGGTGCTCTTCTATGGGTGAGTCCTGGGATGGGTGAGTCCGTGAGAGCTCTTTAAGAACTCTTTCTGAGTTTGCTATAGCCTTGTGGGCCTCATGGATGCAAGCCCTGCTGGCTTTCAAAACTAGATGTTTTGGGAGCTTGTCTCTGATCTGCAGGTCTTAAAAGTTGGGGTGCCATTATGTGGGGTTCAAACTCTTCACTCTTCAGGGAAAAGCTTAGGGATGTGAGCTCCCTCCAAACTGTGTGTGCCCACACTGTGTGAGGTTTATGGCAAGACTGTGTCTCAGCCTCTCCTAGCCACTTCACTATGGTTTTTTTTCTCATTTGCCAGATATGAAGGAATTCCTCACCTAGTTTTTTTTTATTATTTTCAGAGGAAATTGTTCTGTATGTAGCTGTAGATTTGTTGTGTCCATAGGTAGAGGTGAGTTCAGAATCTTCCTACATCACCATCTTTAATTGGAACTCTGTGTTTGGTCTCCTTGCATCAGCAAAGCCCACCACAGAGTAGGCACTCAATCAAAGCTTGTTGAATAAATAAGCACATAATGGTGTTTTTAACTAACATGTGAAGTAACTATTGTAATTGGTTTTTTGAAGTAGCAAGTTAATTTTTTTCTGTCAGCAATTTCTTGATGTGGAATAAAATGCTTAATTTGGAAATTAACGTTGTTTTTTACCTAAGCCCAGGATATACGGACAAAGTTTGGGAGCTCTTGAGAGAAATATTGCCCGAGTTTAAGCTGTCAGATGAGTCCAGCTCTGAAAGCAAAATAACAGACATAGATGCCAAATTAAAAGAACAAGGAAAAGACATGAAGGATGGGAAAGAAGTGAAAGATGGCAAAGAAATGAAAGATGGCAAGGAATTCAAACCTGAAGGTTCAGCAACAACACTAAAATTACCTGAGAAAAGTGACAGAGTTTTAAAGGGTAAGACATTCTATATCATGATGTTATTCAATATGGGTATTATATATAAACACTTTATAGTTTAGTCATTGCTTAATTTAATGATTATTTATTGTCATTATATTTATTAAGTGTTGTGGAAACAGTCATGTAATTAAGGTCCTTTCTTTCCAAGATATTAGAACTTGCAATGGTGTTTACCATATGTTAATTATTCTACTATATTTTGCTCTCCTTGAATATCAAAGGCAATTATATATTTTGATGATACTCAATTAATATATTATTAATATAGAAAAACACATTAAGTTTTCAATTTCCCTTAAACACATCTTTCTTATATGTTATATGTAGAGTGGAATGGACCAGAATACCAAAGGAGAAAAGTTGTCCTGTTTTCCTTTTCAGGAAGTGTGAAATGGACACAGATTACATTATGATTTGCAGGTTATTGTAAGGTGAAAGTTAAAATCTGGAAAAAATTTTTTGAGTTATTTTACAGAGTGTAGGAGCATTTCTTCTTAAGTGGGAAATATATTTAATCATTATTTATTTTATGTTTTCTAAAATATTTTATATAGCCATACATATGAACAATAATGCTTGTATAGTAAGAGTTAAATATACTAGAAGATACTCAGCTTTTCTGTGTACTGTGATAGCATCTGTAATGATCTTTCAAATGTTTATGTTTTATAAGATATTGATATTTTGTCCTTATCTAGATCTTATCAACCAGCATTTCTAACCATATACTGCCCAGAAATAATTACTGTAAATGTTTCTCAAAAATATACAAAAAAATTGTGTGTGTGATATCCGCCTATCATCAGTGCCATTTAAAATGATCTAATGTGTATTAGTTTATAAAAGAAAGCAAAAAAAAAGCCAGATTAAATTTGTTTTACCCAGTGTATCCTAAATTAATTTGAACCTGGAATCCCTTTCTCATGTATCACAAGTTAACTTCTGTCTATCCAGCCCTCCATTTAACAATCCATTCAATATACTACTTGCTGAGAATATCGGTAAGTGTTCTAGGAATTAGTGATAACTTGATGAACAACATCAGGTGTGGAACTCACTTCCTAGAACTAAGGTCTAGTGAGTGGGACTAACATTAATTTTAAAAATCATAAATACATACTAATACATGAGTCTTGAAGGGAAATACAGGAAACTTTAGGAGTTCATATGAAAGACCTAGTCTGGGGCATCAAGGAAGAATTCCCTAAGGAATTTTGAGCTGTGTTTGCAAAGATGATAGGGATATCTGGAGGAAGATTAAGGACTGAGAAGGGAAGAGCATTCTAGGTAGAGGAGACAGCAGATATAAATATTATGAAGAAGTAGCAGGAATGACAATGATTTGGAAGACCTGGTAGAAGATATGTTTAGCTGGAGGAGAGGATGTGTGGAATAAAGTGGCTTAAGAAGAGCCTGGAGAAGTAGATAGGAGAGCGATCATTTCATATCCTCCAGGTCATGTTAAGATGATTGATCTTTACCAAGGAGCAATTGACGGCTAATGAAGAGTTTAGGGTTGAGTCATGATCTATTTCACATTTTCAAAAGGATATTCTGGTTCTCTGAGAAGAAAATAACTTGGTGTGCGCATGGGGGTGGAGAGTCAGTGACATGAGTGGACATAGAAAAAACAATTTGGAGACCTTTGCATCAGCTCAGTTCAGAGACAATAGTAGCTTGGCATAGGGTAATAGGACAGTCATAGTGGAGAGGCAGATAAAGTAAATGATTGAGAGATATTTAAAACGTAAAAAATGGCAGAATGTGGCAAAGATGATGTGTAGAATTCTGACTTCCAAAACTGGATAGATGGTAGTACCTTTTATTGAGAGGCGTAATGCCAAAAGAGGAACGGCTTTATGAGGAGAGATCACAGAATGACTCAGAACATATTGAATTTGAAGTGCCTTTAAGAAATCAAGTGTACTTTCATGTCAGGAGTTCCAGGCTGGTGATATACTTTTGGGAATCATTGACAAATGCGTGCCAAATTAAACAATGAATGATATTCCCAAGGAGATGGCGTAAAGTGAGAAGACTAAGAAGCTTAAGACTCAGCCTTAAAGAAGCTAAATATCTGAGAACTGGGTACCAAATAATGAGCTGGCAAAAGAGGTTAAAGGATGACCAGAGAAACAGGAAGAAGACCAGCAGAGCATGTTGCTACTGAAGTCAAAGGAAAAGAGTGCTTTAAGAATCAGGGAGATTGTGTCAAGTAGTGTTGAGAGTTGAAATATGAGGAGAATTCAAGTTTCTCTGCTGGATTTTGTGATATGGAGGTCACTGGGCACTGGTAAGTGATGGGAGTGGAAGACACGTTGGAGAGGTTAAGAAATAAGTGGGAAGTAAGATAATTTATAAACACCCCTGTTAGGAGTTTGTCTGTGAAGAACAGGAGAGCGACAAAGTGGAAGCTGACAGGGAATGTAGGGGACCCGTGAAAGATATTTAAATTTTTACCTGATGAAGAAGTATTTTTAAGTGATTGGGAAGATGCAGTTGAGATGACAGCCATAGTGTAAGTTTCCAGAGAGCCCAGGTGAAGGGATTGGACCAAACCAGGGAGCAAAGTCTCCTCCATCTTAACGGGTGGGCACAGGGCATGGGAGAGGACAGATGCACATGTCAGTGGATGAACGGGTTTGATAGGGAGAAGCTGAGGGTTTCTGACAAAAGGCTTCTATTCTCTATGAGCTAAGAGTGAAGTGGAGGTGGAGATGAAGGTTCTCGTTGTTATTTAAAATAGATGTGGCAGAAGCTTGCAGAACTAGAGGAAGGCCATGTCCAGTAGGACTCAGCTGCTACTTTTATTCAGAGGGGTTGGCCAGATGGGTGAAATGAGGTGACAGAGGAGCAACAGATTTACTCATGGTATTGGCAAAAACACATTTTGGTAAACATTTTTGCATACTTTCCAAATTTCTATTTGAAAAGTGTGTTTTTCTATTTATAATTTTTATTATATATATATACATTATATATTTTAAATTATGAATTCTGAATAGGCATTTAAAGGCTTTTAAAACCCCATTTTAAAATCATACATGAAGTCATATATTATTACCTATAATTAGTTTTAAGTCAAATATTTATAGAAAAGCCACAAAATAAAATTCTGATAATCTGTGTTTTGTACTTGTTTCCCAATAAAATATCTCATCCTACACTTATAGTTATCTTTGCCTTTGTATCTAACACAGATGTTAAATCTACTATAAAAGCTATGAGATACATTTACTTTAGAAGCTAAGGGGCAGTACAAATTGTTAATGTTATAGTTTTCATTTATGCAAATTTTAAAGAAAACAAACAACCTGATCAATGGTGATTACAAGTTTAGCAAATGATGAAAGAATGAATGGCAGAAATTTGAAATTTCTGTTTTAGAATTGGAAGGGATTTATTAGGAAATAAAAAAGCTTAGGGGTAAGTTGAAGGAGAACATGTTTCATAGAAATGTAAATGTGAATGGAAATTCAAATGGTGGACGGTTCTGGGTACTGGGTTTTACTACACACAACATGTGGACAATCAGATGTTGGTTTGTGGACGTTGGTTGGTAGCCAGTTTCCACCAGAAGATATTCTGGAGGCAGAAAGCTGTGTTTCTTGAAATGCAAGCCCCAAGTAAAGAAGATCTAAGAGGGCTCCACATTTAGGACTCAACTTTAAGCACTTTCTTTGCCGGTTTTTCTTTTTTAAATGAGAAAATCAGCCTGACACCATGATTTTATATGAATAAATTATATTCAACTGATCATCTACATTTAACATAAAATTTGTGTAGTCAATAATAAATAATGCTGCATGTCTTTCACAATACATGTCAATTTTCAAAGTTTCCTTTTGCTTTATTTTGATGTTACTAATTTGAGGTGAGTAGTACTTGGGGAAATTTATGGCTATTGTTTTACACTTAAATAAGTTAAATACTACTATTTAACTTTCTTTTCAACACAATGACTTAATAAGCGACATACATTGAGGTTTTGTAGTTAAAAGATTTATTACATTTTTTTTAATATGTTGGAGAAAGCTGATGCAAAAGACCTTGGAAAGAAGAGGAGTAAAGATGGAGAGAAGGAAAAAGAAAAGGAAAAATTCAAATGGTCTCTTCATGGTTCAAGGCCCTCATCAGACGTACAATATTCTCTACAGTCTCTGTCAGATTGTAAGTTCTCAGTCTCCTAGAATAATAATTATTGTACTTATTTCCTAAAATGCTGGAAAACACTGGAGCATAGAAATGTATTTCCTGTTTAGACATGTCTAAATAAGCTTTTCAAGGTTGCCCACAATTGTTAGGCCCTCAGATGGTTATGCATAACAGAGCAAGATCCTACATATGAGACAACGTTATCCAAGTTCTTATGGTACAACAGTCACAGAAGTGTTTACATGAAGGAGGATATATAATACTAATAAAAATATATGTTATATGTTAGTAGACATAATATATTTTTATTATAAAATATATAATTATATATTAATATGTATTAATATATGTCCTCCTCTGTGTAAATTTTATATATATGTTGATATATAAAATATATTTTTTAAACTTCATAGTCCTAACATTGGGTCATCTATCTTGGTGCTTCCAGAGTGTATATCATAATTCTCAGTTCATCCTTCTTTACATGAAAACATGTCCATTTACCTCCGGCACTATGCTTTATCTAGTTTTTTTTTTTCATTTTGTCTTTCTTAATACATTACTGTGTTTTTTCGTGAGAGCATTTTCATAGTTCTGGCTTTGTATTTTTACAGAAACATGTCTGGTGGTTTGGTAGAGAAAATACAAACACTAGTCATTATATTTTTAATTTTATACAAAAACTTGTTTTCTTATAGTGATGCCTTAAGCAATCTTTGTTGATACTGGATGACATAACAGTCCCAAAGTTACTGATAATTATTCATGTTTGTGAGAATGGCTAAACCTTTCTTTGAGTTTCTTTCTTTGTGAAAATGATGGTAACAATGCCTCTTTTTCTACCAAACTCATAGTTAAGTCAACCTCTAGATACAGAATGTGGTTCAAAGTTTGGGCTGTGGAGTAAAATTGCCTGGGTTCAGATCTCTGCTGCATGAAAAATATGTTAGAGAAGGAAAAAATTTCCCTCTACTCTCTCCAGGTTCTTCTAGCTGGTGTAAGAATTAAATTGACATGAGACAGATTAACAGAAGAAAAAGAATAATAATTATGTATGTATGAGGCCTCATAAGAAAAATGAAACCCAAGGACAAGTTAGGCAATTGAGGCTTATCTACCATCTGAGAGAAAGAAAAGGGGGTCGGGGGTTTGTGACTTCAAAAGGGAGGAAGGCAATTCACCTGGAGATTGAAAAGCAAATGTTTGGTAAACACATGTTGGCTCTACCATGCAGAGGCAGTGGGACACAGAGAGAACTCTTGTCTCTAGGCCCTGCCCTACCACACTTAGCCCATATTCTTTGTAGGTATCTCTGGTGGTAGTGCTTTTCCTGGACCAGGCCCTTTATCTGAATTCTTTTAGGCAGTTAAGGGGGAGGTAAAAAGGAAGAATTCCTGAGTACTCTGTTCTTAAAAAAAAAAAAAAAAAAAAAAAGCCCAAAATAATCCTCATGACAGAGAGACACATTTTAAGGTGACAAATTTTGCTCCCCTACATATACAAAATTTACTTTTTAAATGTAAAAACATATTTTTACAAGTTGGGCATAGTTCACATCTTAATCCATTTTAGAGTGATCCAGGCTTAACATCTAATTTATATATTGCGGTTCTAAAGATATTATTCTTCAGTAAACATATTATCTAGTGCAGTGAAATGTAAGTGCGTGAATTTTTTTTAACATCTTTATTGGAGTATAATTGCTTTACAATGGTGTGTTAGTTTCTGCTTTATAACAAAGTGAATCAGGTATACATATACATATGTTCCCATATCTCTTCCCTCTTGCGTCTCCCTCCCTCCCACCCTCCCTATCCCACCCCTCTAGGTGGTCACAAAGCACCGAGCCGACCTCCCTGTGCTATGTGGCTGCTTCCCACTAGCTATCTGTTTTACATTTGGTAGTGTATATATGTCCATGCCACTCTCTCACTTTGTCCC